TGAGTCCAATGCACAGTAGAATGATTTCTCAGAAGGGGAAGTTCTGTCACGTTTTCACACTGAATCCTCCCGCACAAGGTATCTGAGATGTCACATTTTAGGTATGTAGAGTTCATTAGACCACAGTTCCCAAAACGGTCACCTTGAATGTTAATTTCTTTGTAGCAACTCTGATTTGCACTCTTGGCCTTTTTGCCAAATATGTTCCTACACTGCTCTTCACGGTTATTGCATCTCTTTTCATAGCAGTAGCCACCGCCCTTGCATGGGATCCCATTCTGCAAGTACACATCCTCTGGACAATGGTAGGATGTCCCATTGCACCACTCTGGGAGATCACAGTCATTTTCCTCTTGTCTACAAACTTCGCCTGTGGGCAGGATCTGGCAGTCTTTGCAACAGAGCCCAGAAGCACAAGCAGCCCCAGGGCTGAGAGTGCAGTTGGACTCACAGCACGGATCTTTCATACACAAATGTAAAGCGCCACAGTCACACTCTTCTCCTCCTTCAACCACACTGTTCCCACACCGTGCAAGTGTGAAGATGTTTCCTGTATTTGATGAAACGTACAAACAATTTTTCCTTGCTATGGTGTCCATCATGTCCATGAAGTCAGCATAGCTGCAGTTGCTGAACCTAGTTGCACTGGCTTTTTCTGGAAACATTATGCAGCTTTTATGTCCACATGTACAAGTTGGTCCATCATGATCCATACCCAAATTATGACCAATCTCATGTGACACAATGTATGCAAAATCATACACATCATCGTTCATGAAACTATCAACTCCACAACTAGCATAGCTTTTACATACGGTTTTAAGATAGGCTAAGCCAACAGTAATACCATAGTCACGCTTTATAAAAAGATGTGCAACATCATGGGGAATGCGATCAATGAAGCCAGTTCTCTTCCATATGCAAAATCCCTCCAGGAGAACCAATATGGTATCTATTGGAATTGGATTTCTTTTAGTCCAGACCTCAATTCCCATTAAAACCACATCAACATCCAGTGAACTCAAAAACTTAGCTACGCCATTGACTACAAGTAATACTTCATACTGCACTGCTGTGGTGTTACTTTGGTGATGAAGATAGCGATTGTGGTCCACCACCACTGCCAGTTCAAGAAGCCGGTTGTGAGTCCACCAGCCTTCATACCCACTCTGCATCAAAGTGAAATTAGCACTCTCCTGAAATTTCAATTGTCTTGCTATTTCTTCATCTGTTAATCCACATTTCATGGGTGGCAGCAACTGTGTTTTACTCTTTATCATATATAAGAGATGTTCAAATGTGGTAGAACGTCTCTTGGGTTCTATTTCATAAACAATGTCATTTGTTGTTAATATGCCCTGTAAACCTCCCAAACAGGTACTGAGGGCAACCAGGGATTCTGGGTCCCCCTCCACATAACCATGATAGTAGCAGTCATTCTGGATAAAAGGCTGGTCCTCAAGAAGAGCGCCCTGGTCCGAGTAGGTAACCACTCGGAAGTGTCTGGATAGAAAATTCCTGTTGACCTTCATTTGGACAATGTGTCTCTGGCCCCCAAAATGCATTGTGTAAGAGACCCAGTCTCCAATCTTCATGCCAATGCCAGTGCCTGTTACCTTCAAGGGAATCACCACTTCTGGGGCACCATTGCGTTGGGAGAGCACAACCTGGAACCATCCATATGGGAACAGAATCACCCCCAGCCAGAGTGGCAGGAGAGTGTTCCTCACACACACCAGGGCCTCACTCACAGCCATTATGGA